GAAAGAAAGAAAGAAAGAAAGAAAGAAAGAAAGAAAGAAAGAAAGAAAGAGAGAGAGAGAGAGAGAAAGAAAGAAAGAAAAAGAAAGGAAGAAAGAGAGAAAGAAAGAAAGAAAGAGAAAGAAGAAAGAAAGAAAAAAAGCAAGCAAGCAAGCAAGCGAAAGAAAGAAAGAAAAGGAAAAACAACCCACAAAAATTGTGATGAGTAAATGCATGGCTACCTTCCGACTTACATTATCAAATTAAAAGGAAAACACACCTCACAAATTAAGTGATGAATTTCCCACTGTGGGTAGGAGTTACAAGGCAAAATGGAGATACATTGCCTTGGTCTCATGTTTATCTGAAATGTGAAGTGCCTAGCTTAAGCCATCTCTCTCCCACACCTTTATCTTCCTTTCCTTCCAGCCCCCAAACTTCCCTTTATCACAAATACTGTATATTTGGCCTCACAAATCCAACATTCAACAGTTATAATTAGAATAGGGAGAAAAGAACGAAGGCATCTTTTTCTTACAGTGAAAAACTACAGCTGAATTCATTTTACTTAGTGGCAATTAAAACACATTTGTAAATTTATAAATATTTTGTAGCATGGTTCTGCAAGTGTTTCTAATTTGAGCAATGACAGGTGTTTGTTCTTTAAAATAAATAGTGATCCTGGGGTCTTTTACTTAGGATTCAAAATATGTCACTGTGGAAGAACAAAATTGAGCGCTTGCAAAATTTTCTTCGAAAACAGGTTGTGAGGTGCTCTGCTTAGTTAACTTAATTGACATATGTCAGACTAGCATGTGAAGTGCCTATTACGTGCCAGGTGCTACTTCACTTACTGACATGTAATTTTCAGAACAATTCTGAGACCTAGGTTTTAGTAGCCCCATGTTATGGATGAGAGAGCTGAGCTCAGAGAGGATAAGTGACTCAGTCAAGATCATATTGTCAAGTAATGGCGGAGATGGTATTCAAACACAAAGCCGGAATCTTACCCAGGGGAGTGGTCACTGGTGATGATCTTTGTCTTCGCCAACCACAGCTCAGCTGAAGGCGTCATCACACTAGAGAAAGGCCAGTCTTACATGCAGCTTAGGGGAGGAAAGACAGTGAGCTCTGAGTGAATGGTGTCCAGATGTATTTTCAGGGGGCAATTGAAAAATTAAATCCTAGACTCTAAAGTCTGAATGTTTGTATTCAAATCCTATCTCTGTAACTTAGTTTATGACCTCTGGCAAGTTGCTTGCCTGCCAAAAGCCTCATTTTCCCCCTGCCCCCCACTTGGTAAAATGAGCACCTACCCCTTGGAACCGCATTGAGGATAAAAATAGATGAATAGTGCTCAGCACCTTGAGAGCATAGTGCTCGGCACATTGTGAACACTCAATAAGTCTTGAGCATTGTGATACTGCTTAATTTAAGGGGATCTTTGGGAACACTCCCACTCCCAAATATCCGCCCAAAGTCACATCTGAAACCCCAGCAGGACAAATTCAGTCTTAGAGGTGACTAACTCCTCCTCCTATTTGACAATCAGTTCAGGTGTTTGTTTTTATCTCCCAGGAAACTTTCCCAAACATCCCGTACATATTTACCTAGCATTCTGCTTATAAGATTATATACCATATGAAATTATATTATACTATATTATGTATACTATATTTATTTGACTTTTGCCCTACTAGATTGTGTGCTCTCTGAGAGCAGAATGTCTTTCTATCTTACCCACCTTTAGGTATATCTGAGTGCTGGCTCTTGCTCTAATCTGCTGGCATCGGCACCTACCTTTGCAAAACACTCCCTCCTGTTGCAAAGCATTTCTGTGAATCACAAACAATATCTGTCTGTCTGGCAGGCACCATGGTCCTACTCACGTGTGGACATATCTGGCCCTCCCTCTGGGTATCACTTCCTCTGTCTGCCACAATCACCCCCTGCCAGGCTCTGCTAGAATCCTCTGAGTAGCAAAATTGAGCAGTGGTCTGTGAACAAATGGGTACCTTCCTCTCTCTGTCTGCATTTTGCCCTGTTCTAAAATTTCCCAAAGTAGTAGTGGAGTAGGAATGGTAGGAAAATGACAGGGGTCCACCTTAGGAGAAAGCAATAGAGGGATGTACTACCTGTGGAGAATTAAAAATAAAACCACCTAAAAGTCAATCTTCTTTTTACTCTTGCTGCACACTGGCAATCCTAACAATGATAAACTACTCCCTTTAGTTTATCTAAGTTCTAAACAACTGCTGCAGTTTTTGTTGAGTTTTAATAATAGTAATAGCAAAACAACAGTGGCAATAATAACATAGACCTCAAATTAGCAAGTTTTGTGACTTATCTTTAAATAAACATGGTATTCCACATGAAAGTTAACTCAGAGAACTCCCAGTTATATAGTCACCCTCCAGGTACACAAACTCAGCTACATAATTGCATTTGAAGAGTAAAGAATCATTTGAAATCAATCCAGCTCACTTTGGGTGCAATTTGTGTCTTCAATTTCCTAAATAGTACATATTTTGGCATTTAAACAGTAGGTTCAATTTAATGACAACATGGTGGTTGGAAAGATGAAAAGACAGGACTAGAGTAGCTTCAGCTCTGTCGTTCTATCTGACCACTTGGACTTTTTTTGTTTGAAATTTAAAAACAATGAAATATAGTGCAAATAGCAAGCTTTGTTGGGTAGGTGCAAATTCCAGTTCATATATTAAATAATTTGTTGAATTTTAATACTATCATTAAGGTGAAGTTTCTTTTTCAATTGTTTGTCAATTAAAGAATGAATCGAGAAAATATTGAGTATTATTATTACATGATTATTACAGAAGATAATTTTGTTGAATTGGGGAGAATTAATAAGTGATCTGCTCCAGGTGTCAAATATGTTAGGAATACCATAAAAAGTTGTGCTGTCCAGGCCATGATTGCTTACAAAGAATGATCTTTCAGATATTATTGAAAGCCAGAAATCCACATTATAGAATATACATATATATATAAATACGTATACATATATATGTGTGTATATATATGTACATAGAGAGAGAGTGAGAGAGAGAAATCCATGTTACTGAACATACATATTACTGAAACATATCATATAAGATATATGATATTACTAAAATCCAGACCAGATGCAACAAAGACTAAGCTGGAGACAGAGGTCAAAACCCTTGTTTCTAGGTGAAGCTTGTCTTGCTTCTGGTCTTCCTCTATTCCCAAGGTTTCTGGAGTCTTTTTGCAAATACTTCTAAGGACCCTGCCCCACCGGTTCTCCCAGGTACTCAGATATGTGGGCACATGACCATTCATGTAGGTGAGGCTCAGACTGGAACCCCTCCACCTTTGGAACCAGGTTAAGTATAGAGCCCAGAGCAGGCAGGTGTACCATGAATGTTAAATGGATAAGTGAAAGAATGAAGTGCATGAAACTAAACCACATCAACATGATCCCATTTAATCAGAACTGTTTTTCTTCTTGGCTGGACAGGGAAAGGGAGAGGAGGATAGGTGGGTGTCAGGGAGGTAGTCGAAGGGTCGAGCCTAATGCTAGACACTGAGGGGCTTGAGCTCACTTCTCAGCCTGGCCAGGCTGGAGCCTGAGTGGGCTCATGTTTCAAGAGCTGCTCTACCGAGTGCTGGAGTTGAGCAACCAACAAGGAGGGTCCCTTTATTGTTGCTTTTCTGTTTCCACAGCACTTTAGGTTTCATGCTTTACAACCATTAATTATTTATTCCGCAAGGCACTCCAGAGAGATTATAGACTAGGAAACACACAGAGCAAGATCGAGTGCCTTGCCAGGTCTGCGGAACACTTCAGTGAGAGTGAGGAAGACTGCCTCATGGTTTCCACTCCTGTGTTCAGGTCCCAACGGTCCTTCCACCAGGCTTTTCCGCCAGAGGTGAAAAAGCACAGCCTGACTTCCAGAAGCCATTCAACAAGAAGAATCCACTGACTTTTGTTTCATCATAATTGAAGACTTTCAGGAAAATGACTTTAGCTTTTGAAACTAATTTTAAAGGAAACTAATTAAGAGGAAAAACAAACAGTTAAGTATAAAATATTGAGCCTCGACTCAATTTTCCATTCCTTATCAAGTAATGACCAGGGGTGAAGCAAGATTTTATTGACCCCGCTATTTTGAACCCTAAGGATATTTGGCATTTTGACCTATCAACAGGGCAGGCAGTTAGTACTCAGCAAATAATAATTTCTGCAAGACTTCCCGAGTTCTGTGGAGACCTCCAACAGTGGGTGTCCTGTTGTTTGGACTGTGGCACCACCAGCTGCCTCCAGAGTGTCTCCTGTAACCCCTGCACCACCCTCAGGGGGGATTCAGGAAGTCCCATGAAGCTCCATGTGCTCCTGGTAAGATGGCCTCTCCTGCAGCCACACCACCACCCACTCACCCCTCCAAACTGATCAAGAACAAATCTAAGAAAAGACTATAAGAGTTTATTAATCACCTTCATTGAAAAGGCCACCACAGCTAATCTGATCATGCTTTAAATCTCTGCTTACCTCAGCCACTTCCAGAAGTTTAGGTCTTCCCATAATCACGGGGGTTTTTATCCTCCTGTAGCCTCACAACACCCTAATCTGACCCAGCCTCCTACCACTTCTCTGCCTTCGACTCTTACATCTGGAATTTAGAGTCTATTATGAGCTAAATTCCCTCTAATCACAACATTTCCTCTGGGAGAAGGGGTTCTTTCTCTTTCTTTCTCTAAGTGGAATCTGGCCATTGTCTGACAACACTACTTCCCCAGTAGCCTTCACCAACAATGACAATGTTTTTCTATGGCACCCTAGTGCCCTAGGGCCTGGACATGCAGTGTTATCGTCCCTGTTCCTCTTGGCTGTTTCCACATAATTTCTCATCCTTTCTTCCTCAAACACACAGGCTCTTTTGAGCCACATCAATCAGGCAGCACCGTCAACTACCCCTCCTTATTTTACTCATCTAACAGTATTCAATTAAGCTTCCATATTTATTGAAAATATTAGCACCCAGCTTACTGCCTTTCTTCCAAAATTAATCCCATCCCCGTCATCACTCTTGGCAGCTTCAACATCTAACAAAATAATCCATCCATCACTCTAGCCTCTCATTGCCAACAATCTTCCCTTCAGTTCACCTTAGCCATCAAGTCTCATGATCTTAACAACCTAGATCTCAAAATCACCATATCCATAACTATATTACCTCCACTATCTCGATTGTACTCTCTGACCATCAGCTGTGTCTTTCTAACTCACATATTCTAACAACCCCCCCCACCCATTCCAACAATTCTTTGATCTTCATTGGGGCTTCCAATCTATTGACTTTAACACCCCTAACAGTCCCCCTAATAGGCTTATATTCTTTTATACTTAGATTCTGTGGATCACACAGTTTCTATGGATCACAATCAGAGAGAAGCTGGGTATTTCTGCCTCAGAGTCTCTCATGAAGCTGTAGTCAAGATGCCAGCCAAACCTATGGTCATCTGAAGGCTTGACTGGGGCTGTAGGGTCTGCTTCCAAGTTGGCTCAATCACATGGCTATTGACAAGAGTCTTCAGTTCCTCACCATGTGGATCTCTCCATGGCACTATTTGAGTGTCTTCCCCACAGGGTAACTGACTTCACCCAAAGCAAAGAATCTAAGAGTGAGAGGAAGAAGGAAGCAACAACACCTTTTATGACCTAGTCTTAGAAGCCACACACCACTACTTCCACCATATTCTGTTAGAAGACAAGTCACTAAGTCCAGTGTATACTGAAGAGGAGGAAAATTATGCTCCACATTTCGAAGGAAGAAGTATCAAAGAGTTTGTATACACATTTTAGAACAATTATACCATTCTACAGATGAGGAAATTGATGTGCATGGTGGAAAAATAACTTGCCTCTGATCACACAGTCTCAAACATGAAAAGATTCTATTTCTCACTCATGTAAAGTCTTGATCAATGAGTTCTTCTCCAAGTCGTAGCTCCAAGATCTAGTACCCTTCCATTTTACAGCTACACCATCTTCAACACATGGCTTCCAATGTTAACACTTTTGTCTTCATCAAGCCCTAGAAGGTGAAAGAATATGAAAAAATCAAACATGAGAGGTTTTTTGGGTCAGTCCTCAGAGTGACATAACATCATTTCTGCTCATATTCCATTAGCAAGAACTCAGTCACATGGCCACAAATACCAGCAAGGAACTTGTGAACTCTAATCTAACTTGTATAGAAGAAGAGGAAATGGAGTTGGTAAGAAGTCAGAAATCTCTGCCACACACAAATCCCATGCTCATACTTGTATGCACTGTGATGTGACAATGTGCATATGGATGATGTAGCAGGGTCATAGGTGATGGAGCAGGTAGGATCATGAGCTGCTTTCATCAGTAGAAAGTGTGTGTCTTTTTAGGATAAAATGACAAAACTAAATTGTGTACTTTGGAACTGTTTCTTTTCTTTTCTTTCTTTCTTTCTTTTTTTTTTTTAAAGAGAGAAAGAGGGAGGCGGGGAGGGGCAGAAGGAGAAAGAGAATCTTAAGCAGGCTCCATGCCCAGAGTAGAGCCCAACACAGAGCTTGATAATCACAACCCTGAGATCATGACCTGAGCCGAAATCAAGAGTTGGATGCTTACCTGACTGACCTACCCAGGTACCCCAGTTGTTTCCATTTTTTAAAATTGTTTGTTCAATTGTTTGTTGACTGAAACCACCAGTGGAGCCACATATCCATTCCATTAGATGTCTAAAAATAAGCTTTCTAGGCTGTCCTATATATAAACATGTAGTTTCAGGCCAGACATGTTCTTTTCATCTTCACAATATGGATATGACTTATTTGGGGTTCTATTTTAGAATTATCTGGAAAATGCATCCAATCTCCCACTTCATCTATGGAACACAGTGTTCAAAGGCACTGAATACAAATTAATCTGTACCAATTATCCTGCCTGTTCAAGAGTTAAGCACCCCTGAAATTCTCCCACAGGTATTTTTTTTAGATTCCCCAGGGGTAGTAGCATCTCATGTGTGCTCAGCAGCAAGGATGCTCCTGCTCCGCTGCTCCAGCATCTTGCCAAAACACCTGGCCCCTGACTATAGGCAGGGAGGCCCCAAGAGAAATACTGCTTCACCATGCTCATCAGTTCTTCACTGATGGCCACTCTAAACGCTGGGAGTGCCAAAGCTGCAGTAGGGTCTATGGCACTGTTTGTACCCTGACACTCGTAAGTATTTCATGAACACATGTCCTTTACTTTCTGGCATTATGATTTGTGGTAGATGATAATATTGTTCAAGAAATATGGCCTCACTTCCCCCTCCCTAATGACAGTAGAATATGCCCACACTCACTGATGTTTGCCTTAGCCAGGTGACTTGCTTTGAACCTCATGGTGGATGGAATGTATTGCCCTACCCCTTGATCTTGAGCTCAACCATGTAACTTGTTTTTTGCCAATAGGATGTTAGTGTATATGACATACACAGAAGCTTGAAATGTGAGTAGCATTTTAAGGTGACATGTATGCAGATTTTATAAGGCAAGAGTCAACTTATATCCTCTTCTGTGATCTCAAAGTTAGTCCCTCGGTCTAAGTCAGGGAGGTCAATACCAATCCAACCATTCCAATGTTTTTGCCACCCATTCTGTCCCCTTCAGACATTCCAGGACCAAACTAATCAAAATGAAAGAAGAACCTAAATCCAGTCTGGGACTCAACTCAGATAATCTTGGTACATTTGACTAACACTTGCCTGTCCGTGTTCTTCATGAATCCACTTGTAGGATTGCTTTAAAATCACATTTGGAAATAAAACTTCAGAACAACTTTTCACTACCACCTAAAAAAAAAAAAAAAAAAGGCTTAACATTTCCTATAGAGAGAGGTTTACTAGAGTTTTCTCAGTTTAATTAGGCTCTCATGCATCATAGGTCTTTCATATACGTGACTTCACCCTGCAGGCTTAGTGGTATCTTTGCTGGCAAATATTTTACAAAGAGGGCATCTGTTTCGGAAATACACACTTAATTTAAATGAATTTTAATAACCACAGTGCTTGATTCTGATGAAAATGTTTACGAGCAGCATTTCTTCTCTGGAAACATTTGTTTCTATTATTTTGACAGAAACAAAATTTGGTTGGTTGTTCTTTGGGATGTGAAGTGGTTTTGTAAGCATTTCAGTTTGATGCCCAGGCAGGCAGTCACAATAATTCTTCTCCAAATAAATGGGAACCACTGTTTTTGTATTCATTACTTCAATAAGAAAAGTTTAACCAGTGAAAGGATTTGCAAAACACTGCATCACAAAAAGCCTAAAGTGAATCCCAACAAAAGTTAGCACATTGTAAATATTTTGCAAAGGTTTGAGCAATCTTTTCTTTCAATAAATAGTTGTCTGCACAGTAAAGGAATGAAAAGTCAAAAGAGGAAAATGTGTTGTCTCTTCTGTAGTTGCGAACAGCAACTATTACTGAATTCAGCAGAACTTTATTGTGTGCCTTATAAGTTATACATAAGGTGGAAGAGTGGAGTAAATTTCATGCCAACATATTAAGTGACATAGAAGTGACTTCTGTAATTAAATCATTTTTTAATCATCAAAATTGAAAATAAGAGAAAACAACTTCTGAAGAAGTCCAGGGTCAATCAGCTAAATAAACTAAAGTCATTCAGTCAACTAGCATTGATTGGATTTTAGCAAGATGAAATTGACTTTGCTCCAACTCCACCCACTTCACAAACTAATTAAAAAAGCACATCAGCAACATCTTCAATCAGCTAAGCAAGATAAGTGGGCTTCAAAGCAATCAACTCCAAAACTCTGTCAAGAATAGCAATAGATCCTCAAAGAACCTCCGAGAGCTTTCTGAAAAGTTACTCCTGTCAGTCAGAAGAACAAAAACTCAGAGCCATATGCTTCTGATTTGGGAGACCTTTTTAGACAAGGTGGCTGACATATAAAAAAGAAAATCACGCACTGGCAGGGCATATGCTCATATCCAGGATCTCTCTCAACTTCAGCCCTCCTAAATTTCCATCAAGCAAGAGTAATAACAACGCTTGGATTAGAAAGGCTTGCAGGGTCATTGGGTAAGTCATTTAAAATGTCTAGAAATGTACAAGCTCCTATAGTCCTTAAATGGAATAGAGGATTATTAGATTACCTTTTGCAAGGAACACTGGCTATGGATCAGCGAAAGACCTTGCATTGTGAGCGTCCCATTCTCTCTACCATCCAAAGCACCGCAGAATATTTCGTTCATTACAGAATAGAGGAAAGAATAAAAGAAGCACTTTGAGTTCACTCAATGGCACAAGCAATGTTTTTTCTTCTTTCTATGTGTTTCTGTTCTCAAAGCACCAGAAATCTAATTTCTTAATAAAAGATATCTAACTATTCAAAACTCTGTTCTATTGACAATCCTAGGTAAAAGATTCAGGAAAAATCTGAAAATAGAAATTTCTTTCCTTTAACTCTTGGATGAAAGAGAAGAAGGGAAGAAGGGAGGAGGGAATAAAAAGAAAGAATGACACAGAATGACATAGGAGACCATCCACGTCTAGTATGGTGTTAAGTTTTCCTGTCAACTTTATTGATCCTTCATGGTAATCCTTTGTTTCCTGTCTTGCTCTCTCTTTCTATCCTTAGTGTCCTTTTTTTTTTTTTTTTTAGGGCCCATGTCTCTATTCAGAATGTTTATTGCTTTCTATGTGTGAAAATATTTTTAGACCTTTCAAAAAATAAATTTCTATGAACGACATGGATTCAGTGATTGTGGGGCTGCACAGGGGACAATTAGGAGAGCTAGGGTAATGGGGACAACTCACGGTGCTTCAGAATACAAACCAGGCACCAAGTAGCATGAAAGTACTTATATATCATGACAGCTACAACAGCAGGGCTGGGACATACCTGCTAAATATCGGTGCTGCCTTTCTTTTCTGTGACTGCATATAAACATTTTTGCATTCTGAAGTTCGTACCTAGGAACCAAGAAATACAAAGCATACGTTGAATTTTAGAGCTGAAAGATAGTAGAGATTAGGGAGTCCGAGTCCTGGTTTTAGAACAAGAAGTCATGAGTGACATATTCCCACTCACAAAGCTCTTCGTAGCAGAGTTCAGGCTAGATCTAGTATCTTCTAAACTGTACGGTATTATTTTCCAATGATATCAAGCAGAGAGTACCTATTACACTAAGTAGATTTCCTATCACATTGGTGTGTAGCTGGGAGAAAATCAATTTCAGGTCATCGACCAGAGAGTTAAAAGTCTTGCTTAAGATGTGAAATGTTACTGCTTCTCATGAAAACACAAATTTCCCCTATATCCCACTCCTCCATCAAGACATTTGGACAGATAACAATAATAATGGGTAACTTATACCAAAAGGACTGCTGAAACAAAGGAAAAGCAATACTTTCACAGGTCTGCTTTGTGGAAATGCTACAGGAAGTTAACCAATGAACCACATTCCTCTCTAGCTCCACTTCATCCTTCAAGAAGCCTAATGGCATTGTAGGAAGAGCATCGTCTTCGGAGGCAGATGGATCTGATCTCTTTGCAGTCAAGTCCTGGCAAATAGCCTTCTCAAAGGTTTCTGAGTGCTTCCCAGCATTCCTGCCTCCCATATAGTTGGGAGCAAATCTGTCTGGTTTCCCTTGGTTCTTCTCCTGTGCCTCTGACAATCCTCATGATAACATGCCTCTTCTGGGCAGCTATTTTTCATTACACGTCCTTACTCCCTTCTCTCTGGTCTTACTGTGAGCTTACTGCTTAACCCGATTCCCCACATCACAGTTGGGAATGGATTAGGGAAGATGTGGTTTACCCCCATTTAATTGAAGTTTAAGGTTACAGGGAATAGTTCAAAACTGCTAACATCCCACATACCCGTGTTCCTCACTAGATCTCCTTATTCGGTCAACATCCTGCCTATCTCTAGCCTGCTTCTTTGTACAGGGACCCAATAATTCTCACCACTGGAAATACTCGAAACACTCCCATGGCTCAACTTTACTTCGCCATCTGAGGCCCTACAGAAGAAGATATCCTCTCTACTAGTCCAAGGGCAAGATTCTGTTCGGCCCTAGAGCTTCCTCCTTTCAGGATGATTGACAATGATTAACTTTCCATCCAGGGCAAAATTGCCACCTGTTGCATGTGACCTGATGTCATGGCTCAGACATGACATTCACAAGAGTCAATAGGATATTTCCCGAAGTCTGGCATATTCGATCTTAACACCA